AGGCCTCCTGTACTTGGAGGGCCGGAGGCCTTAGTAAGGAGGTAGTAAGTAGAGTTATACATGCCTTAAGTAGGACGATTATAGGGTTTAGGGTTTTTAGGGTTTAGGGTTTAGGGTTTAGGGTTTAGGGGTTATGGCATTTATAGCTCACTAGTTGCTAGGTTTCTCGACCCTCCAAGTAAGGGCTCTGTTGGGGCTCCTTTAGCACAATCGGTTAAAGGGATTCGGTTTTAGGGCTTCGCTGTCAAGAAAGAACCCTAAACCCTAAACCCTAAGAGGGTCCGAAGAGGCCGGCGTTTAGGGTTTGCAGGGCTCCGTGTTGGAGTCCTTTAGCTGATTCCTTAAAAAACGTGTAGATTCTTGGGTCTGGTGTCTGGTGTGTAGGTTGAGAGGTTAGGTTTTTTTTGCACACCCTACACGCTGAAATGTGCAGTTCAGGCTTCAGGGGGTCGGATTCAGGGTCTGCTTGGGGACGCAGAGGCTGCTGAGAAACCGACATTCCATCTCGTGATCTGCTGTTACGAAGTAAGGAGGACCAACAAGACTTCAGCGGGATTTTAGGAGTTAGTGGCTTAGAGCTGAAGTTTAAGACTCTTATTGAGGTGCACATGGTGCTTCAGCAATGCCGGACAAGTGAACCACGGGTCCTTGTGCGAGATACGTTTGCGAGGGAAAACAACCATGCCTCAAACTCTGAACAGCCCCTTTTAAGGGGGGCTATTCCAAGTTCTACCTCGGGGTCCGTTTCTTTGCTAAAACCACCCAAATCCTAAGAACCAAACACGGATAGGAGTTCCAAGCCATACCCAATGCGGAAACCTCAAGCCTCACAACGAATCCCCAGCATCTAGCTGCCCCTTAGACCCAGATTGGCCGAACCAGCTCCTCGGGTAAACCTTCAGGAACGACCATCAACAACCACAGTCGTGCTCAGAGAGGTACAAGGCAGAGACCCTAAACCCAATCTGTGGCCCCAAAAACCTACATTTTGAAGGAGCTGGTATATGAAACCTTTTTGAGGAACCCGAAAAAGGTAGGTTTTNNTTTTTTCGGCTACAGGTAAACCCTAACAACCATGAACAACCCACCGTAGTGCTCAGACGGGCTACAAAGCAGAGACCCATGATTCGGCCCATGGTCTTCACGCCGAAGATCTCTCCGTTGAAAGCACTGATGGTGCCTCACGAGTTAGGCATGTTTAAGGGGCTTGGGGCCTCAGTGTTGAAGCTTAGGACGACGTCGCACAACCCCTTCAGGCTTGGCTTGGGGCTTTGTAACCCTAAAACCCAGAACCCAAGTGCATACCAGGAGCTGTAGAGGAAGGCTCTCCAAGCCGCGAAGATCACAACCGCCACTAGCTGCAGGTGAAGGCTGGGCACCAGCTGCAGAAGATTGTAGACGACCTTTTGGGTTCAGGGCTTGTGGGCCTAAACCCTGAAGGCCCCTTTTCCCCCCAAAAAAATTGGCACAAAACTCTAACACCCGAACTCTGAATCCAAGAAAAACCGCGAGAAAACACCCAAGAGCAGCTTTAGGGCTCTGGGTCACGGCTCTAGAGGATCAAGGAAGACACTTCAGCACTGAGCGATTAAGGATTTAAGCTTTATCGTGATGGACTGTCTGAGAGCTGACGAATACATGATCTTACGGTGGTGAACCAGATATTGAAGATAGACAGAAGTTGGGATGGAAAGCTGACGCCTGGCAGGTTGAGGATCATCGTCCCCGGCCAGTCCTAATCATACGTGAAGAAGAAGAAGAAGATGATGAT